ATGTAGAAAAGTGCCTATATGGTAATGCTAGTAAGGCAAATAAGATGAAAATTTGTACATGTTTACTATATCACCAGTGAGCATTTTATATAGTGATGTTTTAAAAACAACAACAAAAAATATTACCTCAAATGTACTTCATCTTTTTACAATCAACCAAATGATGGTTCATTCACCATAGCCACTGATGGGAACTTTAAAAAAAAATACAGAGAAAAAAACATAAAGAAATAACATTGTCCAAAATAGAAAAAGTTTGATTCCTTATTTGCTATTTTTGGTATTGTTGAACACAGGCGAGTAACTGTTTCTTAATTTAATTGGATAGCTTTATTTTACAAAGGTATGGAAAGTTTACAAAGCAGTATATAAATCTTATATCATTAGTTGCATTTGCACTAAATGTGATGTACTTTTGTGATTTATTCTGTAAATAAAATTACACTACAGATGCTATTTGTAAAGAATACATTCTACTTGTAGAGGAAGGCACTGCGCTTCACTACAGCTAGCCCTGCCCAACCAGGTGGTAAGAGGCCTCTGACCCAATGTGGAAGGAGCTGCAATACGTGAAGAAGGTCGTGAAGAAGGTCAGTCAGTCCCTAGGAGAATATCTGTTGACCTTTCAGACTGTCCATCTGTGAGGAGCAGCTATGTCCTTTTTCCTGGAAGGCACCTTTTATGGGTTTAGGAGATTTGTTTTCCCCTGTCCCTTGAGGCCATCTGTTTCTCCAGTCACTGCCCCACATATGTGCTCTCTGAGTTCTCTTCTTCCAGGTGCTGGAGCCATTACATTTATGCAGTGATGGCTTTCTTCCCAGAAGAAGCCCCTGACTGTAGAAGTATTTTACAGACTGAACCAACTTGAAGGACTGAGAATGCAGCTATCCATTTTCTGAATGTTATCTGCCTCCATTCTGGAGAATTTGGATATGTTGCCACACTAGATCTGGAAAAAAAATCAAAAATAAAAATACTGGATACAACTTGTGTTGGCAATAGGGATGAGATATAGTCATTCTCCTGCCTGAAAATCTGACCATCTTTCACAAATTTTCTGTAGAAAAGATGTCATGCACTTTGAAAAAAAAAATGTACCTTTTACTTGGGCTGAGCTGGTTTGTCTGAAGTTGTGCTGATTCTCCAGTTCTCTTTAATCAGATTGTCCACCTGTATTTTTGTCAAGTTGTACAGATAACGCTGTATTTGAATTGCCACTCTTCATCTACAGACTGAAAACATGAATCATATTTTTGAGTACCCTGAGTGTGTAGAGTGTAACTGTTTGTTCTATAATAGCTTTATGATCCTAATGATAAGTTTTAAAATTTAAAGAAGTTGGCTCTTCCATGTTACAATCACAAATTTAAAACCAGTATTTAAAAGTGAAAAGTATTAAAAATATTATGAAGAAAAATCTGTGGTTTGTGTTATTTCTCACACATGGAGAAACCTACATTTAAAATGCTCGGCCTTGTAACCATCATCTAGGTTAGGTGTTAAATTATATATCATACTATCATGGATGTAAAACTTAACAGGAAAGCAGCTTTCTTGTGTTATTGAGGTTACTGAAATGACAACTTGTGAAATGACAACATCAGCTGTCTTTCAGCTGTCTAAAGCTGTTCTTTCTATAGAAGAGCTCATTTTGTACCAAGATCAGAAGCATGTTAAGAGATGTTTTACATTGTTAAACTGTATGGCAACAACTCCCCAAATGAACTGATGATTAGTAAACATTTCTTTTTGTCATGTTACCTTGCTGGCTTAAACTATATATTATGCTGGTGTGCTAATTCCACTTCAGTTGGCTTCAGGTCTTGGACTATCCATCTTGCTCAGAAAACTTGAACTCTGTAGGCACAGGTCACACTGTCCCTGCTTAAGTGTCTGTGGGGCTGCTTTAACCTAGTCGGTCAGAGCAAATTCCCAGGAAACTTACCCACTAAATCAGGTAGGGCTGAAGATCCCTTTAAGTCTAATCCTTGACATTAACTAGTTGTAGATCCCTAGGGGAAGGTGATACTTGAGAAGGGGCTTGTCTAGCATATTCTGTTGTGAGGACTTATCAAAACTATTTAAGTAGATAGATATTTATAAATAAAATCTATAGATTTATTTAAGAGCTTTCTTTTTAGGAAAGCTGAGTATTTTAATTAGCTTCTATTGTGAGATAGTGTTTTAAAATATCTGTGAAATGTCTCAAAGATTAGTTCCTCTGCAGGCAAAGCCATCACCAAACAAAATTATATTTAAGTCTTTTGTCTTCTTTTGTACAGAAATAGCATTAACACTTCCATGGAAAGAACAGAGATGCGGAAGTGTGCGGAGAAGTAGGAAGTGTGAGTCAGGAGAGCACCCACAGCTTTGCAAGGGC